AGACAGGAGAGAGAAAGGTACATTGAAAATGGGTATCTAGTTACAAGTAGCAGTGATTAATGGCAGCTATAGTAAATCATGGTGCCAACATGGGGGAGAGGCTGTTTACCTGAATCAGACGAATTTTTTGTCTTGACTATTGAAACCTCAGTCTACATATTCAGTTGAGACCCCGACTCCGGTATGTGCAGAATACTGCCACTTAGGTTTCTCCCAGACTCTGGCATGTGCAGAATACTGCCACTTAGGTTTCCAACATTCACTGAATGCACCAAAGCACATGCACGTTGCAGTTGGCTTCTTATTCTCTTGTGTATCTTCAGTCAATTTTAGGAAGTTTCCTAACTCCAGCTACAAGAGTAGCATAGCGGAAGTCAATATACTTTGTTGAATTTCTGCAGCATCCCCACTGCAGGAGGTCAATGGACAAAACTGTCCCCATCAACTTCCTTTACTCCTTGCGTCCCCGTGGAGTTGGGCAAAACTCTCCCCATCAACTTCCTTTACTCCTTGCGTCCCTGTGGAGTACTGAGGTCAACCGAGGCACCATCAGTGGTCGATTTAACAGGTCCTTACTAGACCCACTAAATTGAACCCTGTGAGATTGATATCCAGAACATCAATCTCTGGATAATGAAGACAAGCCCTTAAGATCCAGTTCAAAATTGCTTTCTCTGACTTCAGTCCCTCCAAAATGAACTTCAACCAATCTTTCAAAACTTGTCTTAACTCCCCCTTTACTACTCATTTCTGTTCAGTTAGCACTGATCTCTTGACTAAACGTACATCTGTTTCAGCTGAAAAGAGCTTTCCCGGCTACAACTTCTTTTGTCTGACTCAACCTTCTAGTATCCCTCTGCCTCCGTTTGACATTAATAATTTCATATTTCTACTAGTGGAAGCTTTCTCCTTTCTATGAGGCTTAATTTTTTATTGGCTATCATTTATACTTTCTTGGGATACAGTTTATATGAAGGACTAATTGAAATGGAATAGTATGATGTTAGTTGTTTTTTGTTGTGTTTTTTTTTTTTTTTTAATCTGCTCTTAGCAGATTCTTGGACGAATACACTAAAAAGTCTTGTATTTATTTTTAGGGTGGTGCAAATTGGTTTCGATGGCTGATGGGAAAAGGAAAGAATGAAGCTCACCTTCCAGATGATAAGAACAAATCAGTAAGGGCCCTAAAACATAGCACACCTTATACATGTTAATTTGCTCAACAGTGTGTTAATCCACAGGTTATGGATTTTTTTTTCTTGTGGCCAAAAAATCTTTATACATGGCTTCAAAATGAGTATTCTAAATAACTTCCTGCTTACTGGCTGTGATATCTATTTGCATTCTTAATTCTTGAACTGTGATTTCTTCATAGATTGTTTGGGATGAAAAGAAACAGCGCTGGGTTGATTTAGATGAGCCGGAAGAGGAGGTAAAAATCTGAGGAGTTTGCTTTTCTTTGCCTGAGTGGATAATTGTCAGATAACTGGACTTTCAAAGAGTGGTTCTTAAATGTCATTTTGCTGGATTACTTGGAGTTAAAATGTGTAGCATGACACTTGCTGTAATTAGTAAACAATTTACATAAATCAGAGGAAGCATGTGTTTTCTGAGTCCATTTCTGTCCTCTGTTACTACTGAGGATCCAGTCAGTACTGTGAAACTTACACTGATGTACATTGGAGTAAGTGAAAGTAGAATATGATCTGTGGTAGTTGGCACCATTTATGCCACTTTTCTTCATCCAGATCCTCATGGAAGGGGAGGGGCATAAAGGCAGTGGGAGAAGGTGTCCCAAGCTGTCAAATTTTTACAGCGTTAAGCAAAATATTCCGCCCTGCACACTCTTACTCTTTACAGTTACATATTGCTGTTGATACTTTTTTAGGCTTCTATAGTCAATGTTTGATCTCAAATAAGGGGTTGCCTGGAAAGGTTGAGACATTCTGAGCAAGATCACAAGGGGTGTGTGTCCAGTTCTGTTATTGATGGAGTGACTGAGGAGAAATGTTTGCTTGAAAAATGCCATTCAAAGGCTAACACTGCTTTTTGTTTCTAGAGCAAGCCACCGCCGCCACCTCCAACAGGTTTTCCTAAAACGCCTCAGACTGCTCCACCTGGGCCTGGGGGTCCACCCAGCGTGAACATGTTCTCCAGAAGAGCAGGTAACTGTGCAGTAGGGGATGGCATTCCTCAGTCTAAAGGGGAAAGCTTAAGATTATTATCCCTGTTGTGCAGAACTCAAAAGTGAAGTTGCCACCTTTTTGGAGGCGGCAGCTTCTTTGATGAGCACTTGGCAGTTTGCCACATCCTGGAGTGGAGGGCAATATCAGCTTTGCTGGGTAAGCTAGCATCACCCTTGTGACTGCTGCCAGTGCCACATGCTGTGATTCGCAGTTTACCATCTTAATCTTGGGGCCTGCTTTTTTCCGATCCTGAAAGATTTTGTAACCAGAAATAATGTTCTGTTTTGATTTACGTTTTTGCTGCAGGCTGACGTATTTCCATGTTTTGTTGTCCTGTTTCAGCAGGGAACAAAATGGAGCAAAATCCAGTGGTGCTGTTCCTGCCCCATTAGACCTGTTTGCCCCCTTGGCACCAATGCCTATTCCTGCAAACTTGTTTGTTCCAAACTCAGGTGTGTAAACCCAATGCAGATAAATTGCAAGCAGCAGGTATCTTAATACTTTTCCATGATGCATATTACAGATAGCCTTTTGAGTCTTCTTTCCTAACAAAATGGAGCAAAATCCAGTGGTGCTGTTCCTGCCCCATTAGACCTGTTTGCCCCCTTGGCACCAATGCCTATTCCTGCAAACTTGTTTGTTCCAAACTCAGGTGTGTAAACCCAATGCAGATAAATTGCAAGCAGCAGGTATCTTAATACTTTTCCATGATGCATATTACAGATAGCCTTTTGAGTCTTCTTTCCTCACCCACAAAAAAACCCAAAGTGAACTCTTGTTCCCATTGGTCTAAACTTTAAAGCTTCTTTAACAGTCATTGAATTCCCTCTCAGCCTGGAGACAGCCACTAGGCGAAAACAGCTGCTACTCTGCACCTCACAAACCATGTTCTCCAGACCAGTGTTTCTCAACCTTTTTTTTATAAAGTACCCTTTATCAAAAAAAAAAAAAAGTACCCTCAGTACCTACAGTTTTCACACACACAATTCTTTTTCTACCATTGCAACACATTTGTTTAAACAACTTAATCATAGCCGGGTGGGTGATGACATTTTTGGATGTAAAAAGTACAAAAATAATAAAACGCTGTAAAACTTAAAACAAACATTCAGTTTTCTCCAAATTTCAGTTGTGTTGCTGTACTCCCCAGATTTCTCTTGAATCCCCCTGAGGGCACTCGTGCCACTGGTTGAGAAACACTGCTCTAGACCATGTGTACGAAGAGAGGTTATGTCTTTGCTATCATAGGCAGCTAGGCCATCAGGACAACTGATCTTCGTGATTCCAGCACCTGTTCTCTCAACAAGAGGGCAGTTTTAAACAAGAGTTGCTATGCAGTAACTCTTAGTTGAATTTAAGACATGGGAGTTTTTACCCACAAAAGAGCATTTCATAGAGTAATCTGATTAAGCAATGTATGTTCTTTGCTAGACAAAAAGTGCTGATGGAGGCAGCAGGGGTGGGGCAAGGGCAGGTGCTGCGGAGATGGTGCTAGGGGGTGGGACCGGCTTTTAAGCTGGCTTTCCCCAGAATAGGCTCCTGTCTCTTCCACCCCCCCAACCCCCTTGCTGTCTCTTCAAAGACTAACGCAAGGGCTGGGAGGAAGTGAGTAGTTGAGGACTCGACTAGTTGAGTCCTTGACTACTCGCTTACATCCCTACTATTTACTGGGTTGCTCTAAGATTTCCCATATAAAAAGTGTATGCTTCTATTCCGTATTGCTAATTGGCTGTACACTTCTCCATTTGAACAAGACTTGCCACTATCTTTGGGTATGTCTACGCTAGCTCGGTAGTTCGAGCTAGGTAGGCAAATGAGGGCAAACGGAGTTGCAAATGAAGCCCGGGATTTAAATATCCCGGGCTTCGTTTGCATCTTCCTGGGTGCCGCCATTTTTAAATCCCCCTTAGTCCGAACTCCGTGCCCACGGCTACACGCGGCATGGAGTAGGTAGTTCGAATTAGGATATCTAATTCAAACTACCGGTACACCTCGTGAGATCCTAATTCAAACTACCTACTCCATGCCGCGTGTAGCCGCGGGCACGGAGTTCGGACTAAGGGGGATTTAAAAATGGCGGCACCCAGGAAGATGCAAACGAAGCCCGGGATATTTAAATCCCGGGCTTCATTTGCAACTCCGTTTGCCCTCATTTGCCTACCTAGCTCGAACTACCGAGCTAGCGTAGACATACCCAAAGATAGTGGCAAGTCTTGTTCAAATGGAGAAGTGTACAGCCAATTAGCAAGATGGAGGAAATAGATCTAATATTTTTTCCTTGAATATAGTCAAACCAGTGTCTCTTTCCAGATGAGGTTTTTAATTCAAATCAGTCTCCCATTGCAGTTTGCTACTCTGAAAACCTAGTTCTACTCTTGATCCTGTTCCTCATATCTCTGTAAGGCTTGATACAGTGTTCCTCTTTGGTTAAAACCAGTTTCTTTTGTAGTTCCTGAGGAGCAGCAACCTCTGGAAGGGAGCGGGGCAGGCGAGCAGGTGACATCTGCAAATCAAGTCAGCGCTGATGCAACTGCAGATCCACAGGTAGGTCAGTAAAGATGCAATCGCCATTCATATCCAATTATAACTTTGGCTGAAAAAACCAAGTATTACAGTTGCAATTTCCTAGTGGTATAACCTAAAAAGCATGTGATACCTGTACCTAAATAAACCTTAAAGAGAGAAGGGGAAAAAACTAGGAAGAGAAGAGAAAACACAGAAGAATAAAATGGAAAACCTTGCCTGGGTCCTGTGCAGAGCATTTGTTGGATTAGGACCTCTTATTTTTCCTACTATATAATATGTAGGTAGTCACTCTCCATATAACTGAAATAACAAGGAGTCCTGTGGCAGCTTAAAGACTAACGTGTATTTGAGCATAAGCATCTGATGAAATATGTCGCAGCCCATGAAAGTTTATGCCCAAGTAAATTTGTTAGTCTTTAAGGCGCTGCAGGACAACTTGTTGTTTTTTGTTGAAACAGACTAACATGGCTACCCCTCTGAAACCTGTATGTCAATGGTAGCTTGTAGCCTGAGAGTGATATGATCTGCTGCTCTGTGGAGATGAAGCATCTTTTCCATGTTTCAATGCTACTCACCTTATTATTCATCTTACTCATAACTGTGTTGTGTAGTCAAGCCGCATTTATGTTGTTGGAATATCAGTCAGTACATAGCCAGGAGTTCGTTAGTCTTATGACTTCTTCCCAAAATGTAGAATTTTGTAATACCAATAACCTATTAATATAATGCTCTATTTCTCTGTCACATATTTAAGATGTAAATTTCAGTTATTTACGTTGTGAGCTTTTTGGGGCAGAGATTCTGTTGCAGTAGCATGATGGGGGATCGATCATGGTTGGATTCTCTGGGTGCTAGCTTAGTACAAATTGAGTCCTAAATAGTCCCTGCAATCGCTGCCATTGAATTTCTGTTCGTACATTTGGTTCCTATGTATTTCTCAAACTGTCAGCTGACAAATGTTAACTTCGAGAGAGGGTCTTCACAGGGCTAAGCATGAAAGACACCCAAAAGCTTCAGATCATGCAGAACATGGCAGCCTGCTGAGCAGTGTTAGTCCTATCAAGTGTGTGATAGCTCAGTGTATTACTTGGTAGTTGCTTCAGAAGTACAGATTGCACCCCTCTAATCTGGCACCCTTGGGTCCTGACTGATGCCAAACCAGAGAATTTGCCGAATCACAGGAGGTCAGTATTGTCTAGTAGCATTGCCAACACTTCCACTGCTTCCTCGACTTTTAGGAGACATGTAGGGGTAAATTAGAGCTAAATACAGCACAGAACACTGAGAGCCAGAATAATGTTTTAGGACTGCGAGAAACTTGGACACACTCATGATAAGTGGACATCTGGCTAACTAAAGTCATGCTGGACCAGACAGTGCCCGACTAGAGGGATTCAATCTGTATTAGTACAAGTATAAAGCAAAACAGAATCCCTCTGGAAATCAACATGTGACCTCACTGACTTAAAATATTGAAAATGAACAGTAACTTCTTCTTTTTTTTTTCTTTTTTTTAATAGTATTTAAACTCTGCAATGCTTCCCCCTGGTTCTGAACTCCCTGGTTCCAATCCAGATGGCTCCCAATCAGGAGAGGTAAGGGTTGCTTCAGAGTGGGTCAGTTAATGGTTCTGTGCAGCATATTTTAACCATCAGGCTGTAATGGTCTTAACCTGCATAATCTAAAGCAGCAAATAACCGATGCAATTGCTGGTGAATAGCTAAGGAGAAAACTTTAGGTACTGCCTTTAAAAATCTAAGCAAAAAGACCCCTTTACTTCCATAAGCAGAGTACAAGCTATGTGTCTTAATTTCATTGCTGCAAGAGCACCTTGTTCTGTTTTGAACAGAATCATAAATGGTCTTTTCAGAACAGTCTCACATTAACAGTACTTTGGGGTCTCGCCTTTGTTCATGCATTTAATTTCACTAATATTAAATGTTTGACACACAAAAAAGGGGATAGATTGCCATGTGCCAGGCCACCTTTGTTCCTACTAAATGTTTTCTTTATAATTTTTGTGCTTTCTAAACAAATCCTTTGATTTAAACTAACTTCTGGCTCTTAATTTTTTTTAATTTGAAATTAGTTTAAACCTTTCATAGAGTGAAACTTCATTTTTAATTAAATAAAATGACTGAAAGCTTGGGGCAGTGACATGCATGACGACATTTTTATTTGTGTTTTTTGTATGTGTGTGTTCTTGCTGTTTTGTAGCTTTCGCGCTCTAGTTCAATGAGTTCATTATCACGTGAAGTAAGCCAGCATTTTAATCAGGTACATGTGGCTGGCCATTTTCACTTACATTGGCTTTTTCCCCTTTATTTTTTATTTGCTCAGTTTCTTACTAATGCTACTTTTAAGTCATCATTTTCTCCCTTCTCCATTTCACAGATTTAACATTAAAAATAACTTACGATGCAGTGTTCCTTTTAACACACAAGCAGGGTCTTCAAAATTTTACCATTACATTTATCAAAAAGCACATAATCTAGGCATGCTTGCTTTATTTTTGTTTTGAAGTATATCACTTGGTAATTCTGCTCAACTCTGTCCTTATGTTAATGAGAGAGCCAAGGTAGTCAGTTGCCTTACATAAAAACAAACAAAAACAGTTAATATGCTGTGAACTCCGTAGTGATAACATTGCCCATTATGTCTGTAAATAACCCCTGTAGGAATTAAAGGAATGCTTCATCTCTGCTGTTAAATTTCAGTAAAGAGTTGACATAATAAAAATTTTGTACTTACAATAAAGCACAACAGTTATCACCGATGGGACAGTTTATTCTTTGGGAAGGCCTAAGCTGTACTAACAAAACCATAAGATACTAATTCAGTAAAGCTGCACTGGTGTGGTGTTACTTTTGTTTTTTGCATGCTTGGATTTTCAGAGCTGTTTACAGTTTGTGCATGTGACTATTTTGCGAAAACCGACATTAAACAAGTAATAAAAAAAAATTGCAAAAAGTGCTGACACATTTTGCATCCATTACAATCTGCTGCTCTGTATCTATTTCTTCTTTCTACTAGTAAGCAAACAAAACTTGGGTGAGACTGTACATAGCGTTAATGGTATGTAATCTGCTTTCTAGCCTCTCCGTAGTGTGCCACCTTCTGGGGGACCTCCGGCAGGAACTGTTCAGTTCTACAACCCTTCTCAATTTGCACAAGTGAGTGAAACCCTCATTGTTGCTAGAGGAACTGTGTGGACTTCCTTATCTTGAACACAAAGCCAAGTAGCAAAATGTTGCCAACATAGCTGACAATGATGGTGAAGCTTTTGAGTTTGTCTCTGCCTCTTGCATCTACCTCAGAAAATGACTGGGCATGACCTCAAGTACCAGTACCTCAAAGATATGAGCGCTCTGCCTTCTTTGCTGCCCTTTATCTCATTCTGTCTCATCTCTGCATACTCTGTCCTGTATTCGCTCCGGTTCATCTTTCTGATCCCTTGTTTCTATGGTCCCAGTCTCTTCATTTTGCAAATGACTTGGCCTGCTCCTGCTTGTCCTGCCCTCCATAGTGTTCTGGAACTTAATAAGATTTAAATGCTAAGCCATAGTCCTTTACATTTGCTTGTCTCAACCCAAGTATGCAGGGTCAAAAGAAGAGGCATGGGAGACTTTGTTTTTTCCAGGCTTTGCTATTAGGAGACAGGAATACTGCGATAGCCACACAGCAAGCTGTCATTATTAGCAGATCAGGTTCTTTTGCCTTCCCATCCTGCACATAACTTTTGAATTTGTGCTCACACATGCAATACGTGTTACTTTGAAATGTGCCTGAGTATCTTAACACTTAGTGGCAGCGCACAAGCAAATTATTATCTGCCATGCTAACTGAATCGCTGATACATTTTGGTTTCATATTTAAGTAATTCCCATTGATGCTAGGATGTTAAATTTGCTTGTGGACCAATCCAGCTCCCATGTAAATCACTAGGAATTGGGTCAGACTTCTAATGTATTAAACCTCTGTCTTTCTCAAGCAGAAAGAAAAGATCAGTGTTTGTTCTGAAAAGTAGTAAGATTTTTGCAGGACTTTTAACAGGTGAGAAGAACCATTAAGTTGCTTGAGTTGTATAAGCCTTTTTCTTTTTCAGTCTCCTGCAACTACTGGAAGTTCAAGACTGGGAAGAATTGGACAGAGGAAATATCCAACATTGAAATAGAATATAATGACATTTGGATCACTTTTACATAGTTCTGGACATTCAAAGAACTACTCAGATTTTATGGCACATAGTAGTATCATTACTATCTTGAAATTAACATGAGAGTAATTTAATGCTGGCTGATCCTTTGTCATGGGTTTCCCAACTTGTAGCTCATGTACATGAATCATTACCAAACTAGAAAAAATATATTTCCCCTTAAAACCTGATTTAGAAATATATAATCTCCTATTGGGTTTGGAGAAGAATGAACGGAAAAGGATATGGTTGCTATCTGTTGTGAAAACCAACTGTAAACTGCAACCAAAGGGGGGAGTTTGGTTGATTTTAAACCTACCAGTGTGACTTGAAGATACAAATTAGGTTTCAGGATCATTTCTGAAGGACGCTTCCTTCCCAATGTAGGACATACATGTCCACCTTTTAACAGAATACTCTATGGCCTTAACAGGACCATGCACAGCTGTTATGCATATAAAACAATACTGGCATTTGCCAACATATGAAGGTTTAAGATGCTCATCTAGGAAATGCCTCACATGCTTTTTTTTTTAGGGGAGGGGGGCCACAGCTCATCCAAATAAATAAATTGACCTATAGTGAATTAAAACTGTGACTGTAATAAAATCTAAAATTAGTCTGATTTGGATTTTATCTAGTATGTATGTAGTTTGTGTTTTAGACTCCTTGTAAAACAAATTGTATAGTCTGAAAGAAGCTCTTTGTACAATAGTCAATGCTGTACTATTTTCTGATGAGTGTTAAGTGCAATATGGTTACTTGCTTTCTCAAACTACTGGCACTATGTAATTAAGGTGATAACAGCTTGAAAGTTGTTTGAAAATAATGTTCCTATTGTGTGCCAGAATCTATTCCTAATACTCTGCTCTTGAATTTCCATTAATACAGTAACTAAGGTCTTAAATAGCTAACAACCGAATCTCATACTCAACTATCTGGGTTAGACCTCTACTGATGGACTTGAAAAGCTTTAGGTTTAATATAGAAAATTCTGAACACAATTGAGGGGTAACGTTCACATGCATTGGAAAGTCTAAATGTCCCGCAAGGAGAGAGAATAAACTTTCAAATATTTATTAAATCATTAGATCATTTTCTTTAGGATTTGATGAGGAAGCTGATTGATGTTACTTGCATTTCTGCCCATGAGTTGAAATAATGTACATGTGGAATTGTTGGCCCCCCCTTTTTTTTTCTTTTGCTGAGTAATGCCACCTTTTTGAGATCTGGACAGCCTTAAGTATATTTCCAAAGGGATTATATATGATTTGAAATAAAATGTTGTGATCTGGAGGAATCTCACTAGCCTTCTGATAATGGTCCATACTCTAAAGCCTGGACTTTGGTCAGCAGCAATCAGTGTGGCTTTCTTTTGCAACCGAAAGCCTGTTCAGATACTTGGCTTCATCTACTTCAGCCGTGCGACTGATTTTTCTTTCAGTGGAGACTGCCAAATACCTTTTAATTCAAGAAGGCTTCCTCTGAGCTGGGAGCTGCTATCTTTCCGAAGTGTTGGATTTGACACTGTAAATTCTTAAATAAAATATTTTGCGCTCTGGAGCACTTTCACACTTGACTTTTCTTGTGGTTATTTGTTACATTCAAAGTTAGGACGGTTAGAGGAATATTTAGTCTGTACCACTGAATAACAACGGAGTCCCAGGGCAATCATGTAACAATAGCATATTATAAAGCTACAAATGTTGTTTTTCTAAACCAGTGTTTCTTAAACTTTTTGAGACCACAAAACAATACTATTTTTTATGCAGAACACCTATGAAAATTTTCTTAAAAAAAAAAAACAATTGTCAGACAAAAACAAAATAGAGGTCTTGGCACACCTGCGAGTTATTCACAGAACAACAGTGTTCCGCAGAACATAGTTTAAGAAACACTGTTCTAAACCATTCCATGGCAAATAGAAATTTTCACATTCAAAAAAGGATTCAGGGAAGATACTGACTAGTTCTGATGTCAGGTTACAATAATGCAAAAACGAGTAAACAACACATTTATAAAACTATATAAAACTGGGGGTTTTGGGAGGGTTGCCCAGGGATTAATTCTTCCAAAAAACCTTATGATATTGACCGAGAAGTAGATTTTTAAACTAATTGTATTGCTTTTCTGATAAGCACCCTTTTTGCATTACAGCCCTGCAACAGAACTGGAAAGTTATTTGCAGTAAATGATATTTTAATCTCTAATTTCAGAGTGAATATTTTCATGTTAATTTTCAAAATTAAAAATCTAAATTTGCAATATATACAAGTTAAAGATTAATGGATAAGTGGCAATCTTTGAGATCACAGTGAGGCAGTATTCTCTAAATTATTGGAGAAACTGGAAGTGCTCAGAATTGTACCTCCAACCGTATATCATGATCGACACCCCAGAGCAAGTGTATGCAGTGGGGCAGGCTATTTTGTTACACCTAACGCGACATGAATTTAGGTTTAAAACCAGTAAAATTCAGGGACCTGCCCAGGAAGTTACTTTTGTAGGTATTTTTTGGTCTAGCAGCAGACACGTAATCCCAAACGTTGTCACTGATAAAATCTTGAGCTGGCAGGCACCTTCCAGCAAGTAGGAATGACAGAAGTTTTGGGGAGCTATTAAGTTTTGGAGAAATCCTATCCCAAATACTGCCCATATAGCTAGACCCCTGTACCCGTTTGAATGGGCTGTGCAAAGACAGGAATCAAGTGGGTTTTCCACAGACCTTATTAGTCCCAGGCTGCTGGAAAAGTGAAACGCAGCAATAGAATTGTAAATACTCGGCTGGGCCTTGCATGTAAGGACGAATGGAAGGGGTGGGATGGCCATGTGCCTGAGATGGTGTGGCAAATGAATAATAGGTGGATCAAACGAGGGTCCCCATTTTTAAATGCACACAGGGACAGCAATGGGAAACAACACATGCACTTCCAGCTGCATGGCTGGTAAGGAGGTTATATATTTAGATGTCAAAGCTGCTACATGGAAGCCCAGAGTTATTGCCATGGGTTCGGGATGTACCTATCGGGGTCTAACCCCTGAAAATAACAATCTCTGTGCCAGGGATAAGGCTGAAACCCTGAGGATAGCTCGGGATGGGATTGGGCTCAGGTGGCTGAGGGCAGCCAGTGGGGTGTGTGGAGGTAGGGGCTGGGATCAATAAAAAGTTGAGGAAAAATGGAGGAAAGGTGTCTGGTATTCTCTGAATTTTATTTTTTTTACCGGACAGGAGCTGAAAATATCGGACGGTCCGGGTGAATACCGGACCCCTGGCAACCCTACAGGCAGGCAATAGTAAGAAGCTGCCACTCCAGGGTCCGTGGGTCAGGGCCTAGAGAAGTGGGTGGCCTGCCACGCCTTCTGCCCACGAGCTGCTGCAGAGAGTGGCCAAGCAAAGGTCTGCCGCTTGCTCCTGAGGGAGGGGCTAGATTTGGGGCCAAGCTGAGGGTGCTGTACGCCAGGAAGGGGGTGAGAACAGGGCGGTGGGCAACATCCTAAAGAGGACTTCCTGGTGCAGGGGGCGATGTGGGCCCAGAGAGACATGGCGGAGACAGTAGAGCGGACGACGGGCGGGACACCAGCCGAAAGTGGCGCACTTCAGCTGCACAGAGCTACTGACCAGCAGGAGGCGCTGTGGCAGCGAGTCTAAGCCGTTACAGCGGGACTACTCAACGCGCGGCCTTTTTGTTTGCGGCCCACGGAGCCATTTGGGTTTACGCTGAGCTCAACACATGGTCTGCAGGTGGGATCCTTTGAACGTGGCCTCCACAGGGAACACGCTCCGCAACGGTGAGTCAATAGTATTAGTAGTTACATTCCTGGACTGTCATTTCTCATTACCAGTGCTGACATGTGGGGGAAATCGGGTCAGTCGTGCATTTTATTGATCTCAGTAGAACTGACTGAAATGGGGCCTGCGTGTTGTCGTCTTGCCTTCATCTTTGCATGCATGCCCCTCAGCGTGACAGAAGCTATTTGCATATATTTGCATGTATCTGCAATTCCAGAGACGTTTCGGTCCTCAGCATGTGCCTTGAGTATCATTGTGGCCCCCGGGGCTTCCAGAGTTGACTAGCCCTGGTCTAGCTGATGGGGTGAGGTCTTGGGAGGGGAGAAGAGAGTAAATGTAACCAGCATCCCAGGACCTAATTGCATCAGTTATACCAGTGGTTCCCAACCGCCAGGCCGTGGCCCTCTGGCTGCTGGGCTGCGGCAGCTCTGGGGGCCGGAGCTGGGGTACACCGTTCTCTCCGCGGCTGTTGGGAGAGGCGTCAGGCTTCCCACTCTCCTCCAGCTGAGAGGAAATGCAGC